TGGGAGTGTTCAGTTTTGTTATGTAGTGGGTGAGTTAAGGTTGACTAATTCTATGATGCACTTCTATGTGTAGTCATCCCGCTAAATTTGGCTCAATGGCCAACTTATTTTGCAGATGTCTAGTTGTATTTACGTGCTTTACTTTTATTTATAAAAACAATCGTTAAAAAAAAAAAACGTATGCCACGGTGGGCACATGTTAATATGTCAACCGCTTATATGGCATGCGCACATCGATGATGTTATATGTTCAAAAAAATATATCACTAGTGTCTGCATGCCACATAAGCTGTGAACATATTAACACATCGTGGGTAGGCGAACATTACTCATCAAACAAATTGACCCTTGCATCACTTTAGCTGTATTTCTCAGTTTCAAATACACACAGCTTGACCTTTTCCCCATCCTTTCAGCGAATCAGAGAGTACAGGCTTTCGACTCTTTCCCTTCCTCATCATTCCTTTTCCCAAATCCCTCGTTTTCTGTAACAATTACAGAAATATGAAAATCATCATCTAATTTTATGCCGTCGATTGTTTCTTTTATCCAGATTGTGTCCGTCACTCACTCGCAAGTGATTCTTCAGGTGCGAATACTTTAACTTATGCGATTCTCTTGTAGTGTCGTGTTACTTGAGTGGTGCTAAGCGTTAAGTGCCGAATGATTTGCTTAAACGAGCAGATTACGTGTTTGTTGTTTGATTTCTACTGAATTCTCGTTGGGCAGATTAAATTTGCTGAATAACTGGTTGGGGGTTTGAAGATTTTGATGGGGATCATAAAACAGTTTGTGTATGCTTCATTGAATTTGGATTGTCACTTAGAAAGTTCCTCGATTTGATTGAATTTGGTACACTGTAGTTTTGTCTGATTTGAAATGGAGTCTCTTCCAGTGGAGGTGGTTGGAAACATCCTATCTCGGCTTGGGGCTGCCCGTGATGTCGTGATTGCATCTGCCACGTGTCGCAAATGGCAGGAGGCTTGGAGGAATCATCTCCATGCGCTCACATTCAATTCTGGTGATTGGCCTTTGTACCACGAGTTCTCGACCAGTAGACTGGAGATAATCATCACTCAGACCATATTCCAGACCAAAGGCCTGCAGTGCCTCTCTATAATCATGGATGATGTCGATGAGTTTTCGGCTGCCCCTGTTATTGCGTGGCTTATGTACACTCGAGAAACCCTGCGTCACCTGCACTATAACGTGAGGACAACGCCGAACATTAACATGCTCGAGAAGTGTGGTCGGCAGAAGCTTGAGGTTTTAGCTTTGTCTCACAACACAATCACGGGAGTCGAACCCTGTTATCAGAAATTCCCATGCCTGAAATATCTCTCATTGAGTTACGTCAGCATATCGGCATTGGACCTAAGCCTTCTGCTCACTGCCTGCCCAAAAATCGAATTCTTGAACTTGATCAGTCTTGATATTGTAATGTCTGATCCGCAGGCGACTATGGATTTGAGTAGTTCTTCCTTGAAGGATATTTATGTGGAGGCAATCAGTTTGGATAAGTTTATACTCGAGGCAGATTGCCTCGAGAAGTTGCACCTGAAGGACTGTACGCTCGAAGTTTTTGAGATTGTGGGTAAGGGGATGTTGAAGTACCTGAAGATTGATGATGTCAGTGTCATCCATCTTGATATTGGTGAGAGTGCTGATAATCTGGAGATCATTGATGTCAGCAATTTCACGATCATGTGGGCTAAATTCCATCATATGATCTCGCGATCATCCAAGTTGAGAAAGCTTAGGCTTTGGGGTGTTGTTTTTGATGACGAGGATGAATTTGTCGATATTGAAACAATCTCGTCGTGCTTTCCTTTACTTCGCCATTTATCACTGAGTTATGATCTGAGAGAGGCCGCACTTCAGTATGGTTTACAAGGTTCTTTTGTCTTGGATAATGTGATTGTCCTGGAACTTGGGTGGACGGTGATCGGTGACCTGTTCTCGACGTTAGTTTCCGGGCTTCTCGATAAGTGTCCTAATCTGAGGAAGTTGGTCATTCATGGGGTTGTCTCCGAGACCAAAACCCACGAGGAGTGCAACATGCTGGCCAGCTTTACCTCGTCTATTGTGAGACTCATGAGGACGTATATGCATGTAGAAGTTCAGTTTGAATATGAGTAGTTTTTGATAATGTCGGAACTGCAAAGGTATGGGCGATGGAGCAGATTTCGATCCTGAATGGAGATTGGATATTCTTTCACTTTACTTGGTCTGGTACTTTTGGAGAACATGGAGCAATTGTCGGTTCTGCTATTCTTTTTGCACAACTTTCAGGTTTTGCTTGCCAGATATCGTTGATTATACTTTATGGAAGAGTGGTGGTTTTTATTCACTTATGAAGAAGCTTCCGCGCTAATAATGGACTAGATCAAAATGACTCAATTAAATTCTAGTGCTTCTTCTATTAGTAGTGAAGTTTCTAGAAAAAAATATATCAAATGACGCAACACACCTTGGGTCGCTATGGAAACAGCCTCCTTGTATAATTACAAGGGTAAGGTCTGCGTACAACTGACCCCCAGACCCCAACCTGTTGGGAATATACTGGGTATGTTGTATGAAGAAGCTTCCGCG